CACACACACACACACACACACACACACACACACACCATCATCCTGGCTCCTCCAGGGTAGCAGGAGCCAGTCCGTGCCAGGCCAGAGAGGAAAATCCAGCCCCCAGGACAATGAGATCCAGATGTGCCATGCAGCTGGTATCTGGATGACCCTGTGGTTTGGAGGACCCCAGTAAGCCCTGCTTAGAGTGGGACTGTGTCCCACCCAGAGCTCCCCTGAGCCGCACCCAGCCCTGAGCCTGGTCCACCCTAGAGGAGCCGGGGAGAGTCTCTACAAAATGAGGTGGGGTGTCAGCTCTGGAGAGTCAGAGCTGAAACATAAAAGTTCAGAGATGGTGGGGGATCAGAACAGGACCTGAGAAATTCCAGAATTTCTTAGAGATGCAAGGAGGTTCCTCTCAACAACTTCCTGCAGATGAGTTGGCAGGACACCTCAAAGCCCCGCTCTCCCTACACCCCCTCCAGCCTTGCCCAGGCCAGGCCTTGGGGTTCCCGGGGAGGGAAGGCTGGGAAAGTAACCCAGAGAGTCATCGGGAAATTTTAAGAATTTCCTAGCTACCCCCACATGACCCCAAGGTCTGCCCTCAGAGGCCCCAGCCACACCCTGACCACCTGTCCCTGAGGGCTCAGTTCCGATGCCCACACGCCCCCCTGCACCCCCACCACACACACACACACACACACACCTCAGAGGCAGAGTCTTTGTTGGGAGTAGTCAGGGTCAGGGCGCTACTGGCCATACTTACAAAGAAGAGCAAGTTGAAGAGGAAGAGGAAGTACTTGGTGACTTTGATACAAGCTGACCCCATCCTGCTGGTCCAGGAGCTCCCTGTGGGAGGGGAACAAGGTAGATATCAGTACAGGGTGGGATTGGGCACAGGAGCAGGGAGGAGGGTAAGCATCATCTGCCCACCCCAAATCACAATCTCAGTCCACTCTCACAATGCCCCCATGAGGGAGATACTACCACTGTCCCTAGAGAGGTTAGACAGGAAGCTCCTTTCTCTGAGAAGACTGCCTGGTATGGTGCAGCCTGGGACTGGAGGACAATTTCCTAGGAAGATCTTCCCTTCCACAAACCCAAACTCCCAGGCTCCCCCAATTGGGCTCTGGCTGAAATCAGGGGATCAGGAAGTCAGTGAGTTCATGAGCCACTGAGGGGGACTCCGGTGAAACCCGTGATTTGTCCCACAGACCTTGAGACTTCCTCCGGGATGGAGGGGCTAGTGATGTCGGGCCAAGAACCGGAGCTCCAACCCCTGCCTTCATATTGCATTCAACAAACACAAAACGGTCATTATTTTAGTAGGAAGTCTTTCTGTGTGTGTGTGTGTGTGTGTGTGTGTGTGTGTGTGTGTGTTTGCACGTGTGTATACCAAACGATTTTAAACAAAATTGAGTTCACGCTGTGTAGTGTGTTTTTGTAACCTGTTCTTTCCATTCTACGTTAGGGGAATCTCTGCATGCTGATGAAGGAGCTGGTGTAGTTTAGTGTGAAAGTTCAGTGATTAAAGCTTGGTAGTTCAGGCTTTAAAGGATGGCAGTTTGAGCCCACCAGCCACTCTGTGGCTTCCATAAAGATTACAGCCTTGGAAACCATATGGGGCAGTTCTGGTCTGTGCTCTAGAGTTGCTAAGACTTGGCAACAGTTTTGTATGCGGACAAAATGTCTTCCCACAACATAATTTTACATATTCCAAGGAATCCATCCTATTAATTATTGTACACTAATATTTGGGGCCACCACTCATCTGTCAGTTTGTCATACTGTGGTGGCCTGTGAGTTGCTGTGATTCTGAAAGCTATGCCACTGGTATTTTAAATACCAACAGGGTCACCCATGGGGGACAGGTTTCAGATGAGCTTCCAGATGAAGACAGACTAGGAAGAAGGAGTGACGAACTACTTCCAAGTGTTTGGTCACTGAAAATCTTATAAATAGCAGAGAAATACTGTCAGATACAGTGCCAGAAGATGAGCCCCTGAGGTTGGAAGGCATTCAAAATGTGACTGGGGAAGAGCTGCCTCTTCAAATTAGAGGTGACCGTGATGATGTGAATGGAGTAAAGCCCATGGGAAAAAAGCCCACGGGACCTTCATTTGCTGATGGGGCACAACTCAAAATGAAGAGAAACAGCGGTAAATCTCCATTGAAAATTGGAACATGGAATGTATGAAGTATGAAGCTGGGAAAATTGGAAGTTTCCAATTTCAAAAATGAAACAGAATGCATAAACATCGATATCTTAGGAATTAGTGAGCTGAAACGGACTGGTATTGGCCATATTGAATCTAATGAACACATGGTTTACTATGCCGGGAATGACAAATTGAAGAGGAATGGTGTTATGTTCATTGTAAAAAAAAAAAAAAAATCCAGATCAGTCATGAGGTACTACACGGTCTGTGATACGATAATATCCATGAGGCTACAGAGTAACCCAGTTAATACCACTATTATTCAAATTTACACACCAACCACTAAAGCCAGTGAGGATGAAATAGAAGCATTCTACCAACTTCTTCAATCTGAAATTGATTAAACATTCAATCAAGATGTATTGATCATTACTGGTGATTGGAATGCAACATTGAGAGCAAAGAGGAAGAACCAATGGTTGGATAATATGGCCTTGGTGATAGAAATGATGCTGGAGAATGCATGATAGAATTCTGTAAAACCA